GTTAGGATAGGCAGCCGGCCCTGGAGACCTCCCACCTCCCATCCACCCTCCCGCTTCCCCGCCCTGACTTGCCGCCTGACCTTCACCCCAACCCTGGCCAATCCACCCTCCCCTCCACTTCCCCTTGGCTGAGGAGCCCAAGCATTCAGCGGTCTTGGCCCGGCTTCTCCATGGAATATGGGGCTGCCCGGGCCCCCTGTCCTGCCTCTGTAGGGCTGCCCTCTTCTTCAGCCCCTCCTGGGTGACCAGTCCCCAGCATCCTCAGACCCACATTTCGGGAAAGCCTTCCCACAAATACAGACATCCTTAAACCCGATGAGGCCTCAGGAGTCATTCGACCCTTCCCCCTGCCTCCGAGGCCACACGGAGAGAGAGGAGTATGGTGTCCAGTGACTTACCACCAGCAAACATGTTCAGTCTTGATCCTGCGTGTCTCATCCTTGGTGCTGATAGATTCAGAGGTCTCGTGCGAGCCCGCAGGCATGTCGGAACGGTGTGATGGAATTCACCAGGCTAGTGTGGGACGAGGGGGAAACTGTCCAAATACCACTCAGCCGCCATGCATCCTGAGCAAATAGTAACCAGCTCTGGGACCTGGTGGGCCGGGGACCAGTACTGGCATTTCTCTGGCTCCAGGCCCAAGGCTAATTACCCCAAACAGAGGGTCTCATTTACCCTCCCCCCAAATCCCCGGAACTTCTGCTTCCTTCTCTGCAAGGTGGCCATCAGAAACTCCACGCTACGGGCTTGTTTTGAGGATTAAATGAGGACATACGTGGAAAGTGACTGATGGCCCAGGGTTTGGCACAAGTTTCCTCCCCTTCCCTATTCATTCCTGCTGTGCTTCTCCACAGGGAGCTGACAGCTTCCTTTGCCATGTGCTCTGGGGGTACCAGAAAGACCCTTGGCTTCTGGTAGCTCAGTTACCATGGCTCCTTCCCAGCCGGCTTGTAGAACAGGTTCTGTGTCTCAACCATGGTTGTCTCCTTCCCGGCTTCTTTCTCCTTGTGAATTTATATCTTTTTATTCATTTACCATCGTTTTGATAGAGTTTTGGAAGGGAGTAGGGATAAACACATGTGTGATCCACCATGTTTAATCAGAGTTCATGAACTATTTTTATTTATACACACTATATACAATGTACTTTATATGTGTGTGTGTGTATATATATATAGAGAGAGAGAGAGAGTTATGGGCTAAATTGTGTTCCCCTAAAATTCATATGTTGAAGTCTTAACCCCAAGTACTTCATAATGTGACACTGTATTTGGAGTTTGGACTTTAAAGAGGTAATTAAAGTAAAACAAAGTCATGGCGGGGGGGGGGGGGGGGGGGACACCAATCCAGTATGACTGGTGTCCTTATAAGAAAAGATTAGGACACAGAAGGAGGGCCACGTGAAGACACAGGGAGAAGACAGCCATCTACAAGCCAAGTAGAGGAGCTTCAGAAGAACCAACCGTGTGGACACCTTGACCTCAGACTTTTGGCCACAAGAATTGTGATCATAACTTTCTACTCTTTGAACCACCCGGTGTGTGTGTTACAGCAGCCCTAGCAAACCTACACACACACATACAGAAGAAATCCTTTCCTAAGACTTGGTACTATGCACTCAACCCGATTATTAGAAAAGCCACGTCTTTGTCTATGCGACACAATAATCAGTGATCCAAAGAATGAGGCTAGGATGGCTAATACTAGGCTGAAAAAGAATCAAAATTAACTTTTTAAGAATAAACATATGGGAGCGCCTGGGTAGCTCAGTCGGTTACGCATCCAACTCCTGATTTCAGCTCAGGTCACGATCTCACAGTTCATGAGTTCGAGCCCCGCATCAGGCTCCATGCACTGGCAGTGTGGAACGGAGCCTTCTTGGCTACTCTGTCTCTTCCTCTCTCTGCCCCTCCCCTGCTTTCTTTCTCTCTCTCTCTCAAAATAAATAAGTAAACTTAAAAAAGAAAAACATTAAAACAAAAGAATCAACATATGAATCTTGTATTTTATCCGGAAAAAAATATTTAAGAGATCGGGATGCCATTTTTAATGTTTTAACGTGGCAGGAAATGAAACTTGGATTTTAATCAGTGGAAGTACCTTAATATTAACATGCCATTAACATTTTATAATTTATAATTACTCTTTCAAGAAAATTCAGCAAACTAATACAAGGAATTTGCACCTTTCTGGAGTACATTTAAAGAGTCAGCTTCATGATGCAAAATTATTTTTCTAAATCAAAGTGGTCAGAAGGCAGATACCAAGCTGAATATCCAACAGACCTCATGGAGTCCATTAAGCCTCATGCAGGGATCCACCACTAGATGGAGATGGTGAGCACAAGCTAGGTCCTTTACCCCTCGCCAGTTCTCTGCCAATTTTTTCTTTAAAAAAAAAAAAAAAAAAAAAAAAATTTTTTTTTTAATGTTTATTTATTTCTGAGACAGACAGAGACAGAGCATGAGTGGGGAAGGGGCAGGGAGAGAGGGAGACACAGAATCCGAAGCAGGCTCCAGGCTCCTAGCTGTCAGTGCAGAGCCTGATGCGGGGCTCGAACTCACGAACCACCTGAGCCCAAGTCGGTGGCTCAGCCGACTGAGCCACCCAGGCGCCGCTCTACCAATTTTTTCAAATAATAGGCTGTAGAATTATTTTTCTTACATACTTGCAGTAGCCTATGGTCACTTTTTGATTTATGGTTTGACTGTAAGAAGTGTTTTTAGCTCCATCTGACCCATAGATCATGCCAATCTGTTACAATGATTTTTGTCTACCCTGCACACATTTGTTAGAACTGTGAACCAGGGCAGGCACAGATAATAAACAGCGTCTCCACCAGTGGAAGGTTCTTAGAGCAGTTTAGAAGCTATGAAATTAAATACTTTCCAAATGTTCTTTTTAAAATTAATTTTATTTTGTATAATGTGGTTGAATGTAGTAATTTAATGGAATGTTACTGTGTAGTAGTTAATGATGTTATATTGTAATTTTTTTTAAAAAAATTAATGTTTACTTATTTTTGAGAGAGAGATAGAGACAGAGCGTGAGCCTGGGAGGGGCAGAGAAAGAGGGAAACACAGAATCCGAAGCAGGCTCCAGGCCCTGAGCTGTTAGCACAGAGCCCAACTCGGGGCTCGAACCCATGAACTGTGAGATCGAGACCTGAGCGGAAGTGGGATGCTCAACCGGCTGAGCC